TTTAATGTTTATGCTCCCAGATCATTTTCCCATGCTTGTTTTATGGCAAAGTCTTTATATTATCTTAAAATTCAAGTTTTAAGTAATCAGTTGCCCTACCAATTGTCAGCTTGTTTACAAAAAGAAATCAGTAAAATGGCAGAATTTATTTCTATATTTTATACTGTGTGGTTTGTGCGTTCCTCTTTAGTTTCCTCTGTACCTTATCAAGATTTAAATGCGTACTAGCAGATGGTCCAATATAAACGTTGGGTAGAATCTTATGATTCAGGAGCTAATAATGTACTAGAAGGAATTGAAAAAGTATTGAAATTAATGGAGAGACATACGTGGTATTTGGATCAAACCTTGATTCCATTATGTCTCGCAGATAAAGAATTTGAAGATGATGAGAAAGTATAAGTTGCAAAAGTTCTTTTCTTGCAACCTGTTCCTACTCACTATGAGAAGTCTGAAAATCCAATCTTTCTGAAAGATCTAAACCCAGGAGAAATCACCAGGCTTGTCACAGTTGGTTGGTAGGAACTTGTGGTTTATTTTCTGTCTGTTAAATTTGAGTAAAGACATTGATAAACCTTGGCTAAACTGTCCTTCATCTTTTTGCAGCTATATCAACCAATTTAAAACTTTCATTGAATTTGTTTGCCGAATATATGTTGTCAATAACTGCTCTGAAAGCTTGTGTCATATTTCACCGAAAAACATATAAGCTTGTGTCATTTTTCACCAAAAACACAAAGAAAAGTTTGTTGAGTTATAGTTTTAAAAACTCTTTTTAAAGAAAATTTTTTTCTTGATTATTTACTAATTTATCACTGTTGACCTTAACAATATCATTATATATATATATTTTTTAGCAGAAAATTTATTTTTTTACTTTAACTATCCCAGCTACATGATATTTGGATATTCTGGAGAATCTTTAATAGTATCAATAATAAGGGCAAGTTTGTAATTCCACCTCTTTTGTATGGTTCAGACTTTGTCACCTCAGCTAAAGACAAAGCTGAATTGTTTGCTAAGAACTTTTCATCAATATCATCTCTTGATTCCACTAGTTGGGCTCTACCTGATATAGTCGTCAAACAGGTTGATCCATTGCTCGACATCCATATCACTCCAGCTTCTGTACTAAAGTGATTTCCTGCTTAGACTCTTCTACAGCTTGCGGCCCGGACAACATATCTGTTATAGTCTTGCAGAAGTGTTCTCTGGAGCTGTCGTCTATCCTTTCAAACCTATTTAACAAGTGCTTATCAGAGTCTTGTTTTCCAGCCTGCTGGAAAGCAGCATCTGTTATCCCTATTTTTAAAAATTCTAGAGAGCGATCCGATTCATCTAACTACCGTCCCATTAGTCTTCTTCCTATCATAAGCAAGGTTTTTGAATCTTTAATTAACAAACACTTAATCTCTCATCTTGAACCTCATAACCTACTTTCTGATCATCAATATGGATTTCGATTTTGTTCTACGTCTGATTTGCTAACAGTAATAACCGATAGGTTTTATCGTGCATTAGATAAAGGTGGAGTTGTTAAGGCCATCGCTCTTGACATTTCTAAAGCGTTTGATAAAGTTTGGCATGCTGGTCTTCTCTATAAGCTTTCTTCTTACGGTGTATCTGGAAACATCTTTAAGATTATTGAATCCTTTCTTTCTAATCATAGTATAAAAGTTGTCCTTGATGGACAGCACTCTTCTTCTTATTCTGTAACCTCAGGGGTTCCTCAAGGTTCAATCCTTGACCCTATACTCTTTTTAATTTACATTAACGATCTTCCAGATATTCTCACATCTAAGGTGGCATTGTTTGCTGATGATACTACCATTATTCTTGTCACAATAAGAAGCCAACTCCTTCTGATTGCTTGCAGGGGGCATCTGAGCTCGAAAAGGATCTCACTTCTGCTACAGCATGGGACTCACAGTGGCTGGTGAACTTTAATTCAGATAAAACTCAATTTTTTTCAGCCAACCGTTATCGCAATAGTTTAGACCTTCTTATATTTATGAACGGTAATGTACCCGATAAATCTCCTACCCTTCATCTTCTAGGATTAACTCTTACTTCTGGTCTTTCTTGGAAACCTTATATCAAATCCGTTGCAAAATTAGCATCTGCTAAAGTTGCATCTATTTATCGAGATCGACACTTTCTTACTCTGGATTCTATTCTCTATCTCTATAAATCTCAAATCCGACCTTGTATGGAATACTGTTGCCATATCTGGGGCGGATCTTCTAATGATGCCCTTTTTCTTTTAGACAAGGTGCAAAAACGCATTGTAAACATAGTTGGACCTGCTCTTGCAGCCAACCTTCAACCTCTGTGACATCGGTGTAATGTTGCTTCTCTTCCTCTTTTCTACAAATACTATAATGGGCACTGCTCTAAAGAGCTAGCGTCTCTTGTGCCATCTACTAAAATTCATTCTCGTGTTATTCATCATTCAATTAAGTCTCATCCTTTTTCTGTTACTGTTACTAAGTGCTCCAAAAACTCTTATTCGTCTAGTTTTTTTCCTCGAACATCAGTTCTTTGGAATTCGCTTCCTTCATCTTGCTTTCCTGATTCATATAATTTGCAATCTTTTAAGTCATCTGTCAATCATTATTTTGCTCTACAACCTTCATCTTTTCTCTTGCAGTAACTTCCAACACTAATTAGTGATTGCTTGCAACCTTGTTGGAAGCGAAGATGTTAAAAAAAAAAAAAAAAATATTCAACAAAATAAAATTGTTTAATTAAAATGCTTATTTTGCAGCGCCTATATGAAAATCTAATCAAACTATATGTAAAAATAAAACTTCAAGGCAGATGGTACATAAATATTCTGTAAAAAAATGTATTTAAATAAAAATTTGATGAAGGAGGGGGTCTGAAAGAAACGAACTCTCCGCTGTTCATCGTTAACCCTCCTATAGGGGGTCCCTATATTAGAAAATAATTTTAAAATTAAATTTTGGATCAAATTAATCTTTGTAAACAAGAATTTGATAAAATTTGTCACGGAAAGTTTAAGAAATAAAAAAATTGGTCAATAGATATATCCATAAAATTGACTAAAATTAGAACATTTCGCCCATTTTTTCAGGGTCAAACCTATACACTTTTTAAAATCTTGTAAAGTAAAGGTATGGCACAAATTCGTTTTTTTAATCTTTTCTAATTTTTTCAGTATATATAGTTCGAAAAAAGAAAGATTGTTTTAGCTTGTGACACCCTTGAGTTAAATTTGATCGCTAGCGTCATTCTATTTAAATATACTTAAAAATTATACTAAGTTAGTGCATTTTAAGATATTTTTCTTGACTTGAATTAGTATATATTTTTTTATTGTAAACTTCCTAACCAATTCCAAATTAATATTTAGGCTTTTTAAAGTTCATAGAAAAAAAGTTGGTGTTTTATGTCAATGTTTAAAGTCCCCATTTTTGGTTTAAAAAGTTTGGGTTTTGAGGCATAAATTGTAAAAGCATTTTTATCCAACCGGTCAACTAATCCAGGTGATTGGAATTTAATTTGAAAAAATTGTTGAAAAATGACGCACCCTAATATATATATATATATATATATATATATATATATATATATATATATATATATATATATATATATATATATATATATATATATATACATATATATATATATATATATATATATATATATATATATATATATATATATAATATATATAATAAATATATATTATAATATATATATTATATATATATATATTATATATATATATATATATATATATATATATATATTATAATATATATATATATATATATTATAATATATATATATATATATATATATATATATATATATATATATATATGTATAAAATATATTTAATCAGATGTAGTTACACATAGGAGTTTTCTCAGATGTAACTACATCTGGAGAAAATTCTTCCAAAATGTTATTTGACTTTTAATACAGTTATTTTAATATATATATATATATATATATATATATATATATATATATATATATATATATATATATATATATATATATATATATATATATATATATATATATATATATATATATATATATATATATATATATATATATATATGTATATATATATATATTTGTATATATATATATATATATACATATATATATATATATATATATATATATATATATATATATATATATATATATATATATATATATATATATATATATATATATATATATATGTATATATATATATTAAAATAACTGTATTAAAAGTCAAATAACATTTGGAAGAATTTTCTCCAGATGTAGTTACATCTGAGAAAACTCCTATGTGTAACTACATCTGATTAAAATAATGCATTATTAGTTAAATAAGTTCACTATTATTATTAAACATAATAATTAAATATAACTTAGATATTATCATTAAAAATACGAAAATAAATTTTGCAAAAAGATAACTTTAAAATGATGAATTTTTTAGTTAGATAAATCAATTGCTACTTAAAATAAAAAGTTTGGAAATTTGGAATTTGTTTTTTGCCCAATGAATGTTTTCGAATTACATAATCGTACAGGACTGTAGCAACAAAACATTTATTTGGTGGGCATTGTATATGGCCTAAGACAAAGTCTTGTGGAAGTTATATGAAACTTTTTCAGTTGTTTTTGGTATTTTGAATGTATACAGATGTACATAAAACCCTCGAAAGGTTGGCAAAATATTGCAGACCTCGTTATATGTTTTATGATAACCCCTTTGTGTCAAATTTTTTTTTCGCTAACCTGGTACCAAACTCTTACAGGTTAAGGTCAACAATTCATTGCCAACCTCCTTTTCCCTTATTTCGAGAGCTGTACATATGTAATTACTTTAAGGAAGTTTGGTGTGCAGTGTAGTAACATGTTTTATACATTTTTCGTTTTAAAAAACCAACTTTGTTTTTATGTCTATATAGTTAATATAGTAGTTGTATGCTAAATAAGTAGATAAATATTCAATATTTTAGGGTAAACTTCCAATTCATGGGTGGAATAATCGTGATATACAACATTTATTGCTTGAACTATCACTTATGGATAGCAACAATTTTCCAGGTATAAAAAGTTTATTTTGTGCACTGTTTTAAAATTATAAAATTGTATATAAAAAAGTTACTATACTGACCTTAACAGTTATGCTGAATTTAAAAATTATTATTTTTCTTAAACAAACAACAATTCAAAATAAAAAATTATTGAAATTTAAAAAAAAGAAGAAAAGGATTTAATAAAGATTAAAAAAAAAAAAAGAAGAAAAGGATTTAATAAAGATTAAAAAAAACAGCAGATTATTTTTTTAGATTATTTTTTTAGAATAATATAGAAATAGTGTTTAAATATTTTTTAGTACCTTTTACCAATTATTATATCTTGTAACAATTATTACATCTTGTAAGTTGTATAATTTTTTATGAAAGATCTTTAGTTTCTATTGATAGGTATTTGAAAAGTTGGTTTCTTTTTAAATAAGAACAATTCTTGTTCTTATTTATACTTGTTTATAACAGAATATAGTAGCATTTACAAAAGAAATATCGATAGATATTATTTGTATATATTTTCGACATGGATGAAGAGTTTAATTGATATGTTGATATTTTGGGGTTCCATACTTTGATGTCAAAAATAAAAGAATCTGGACTTCTAACATTTTTTATTTTTAACAGTTTAAAATTTTGATTTTTCTATCTGGAGTTTTTAATGATTAGAAAATCTTAAAAATACAATTAAATTTCCTCATATGAATTAAATGCAAAAGATAATTTGTCTCATAGTTACTTAACAATAATAACGAGAATCTGTAAGAATAATAAATCATTTTATTATTCTTACAGATTCTAGACTTTTATTATTAAAAAAAGTCTAGAAAACCGTTTATTTTACGTGACAATTCTCATCTTATATTCTCACTAAAATATTAAATACTTGGTTAAAAAATTTTTTTTTTGAAATTATATGTACCAGGATTTGCACATTAAATGTTGCATGCATGAAATGAAACAGAATGAAATGCTGCATGATTGGAGTTATTAGTAAATACAGATACACAAATTTGTGAATTCTTTATCAAATGTGTTTCAACTGTTTTCAAATATATTTTTCAAATTTGTGAAATCTTTTCAATGTGCAAATTTTAAAATTCATCTTATAGACTGCAGATTTTTGTAATAATGAAGTGTAATAATGTTGTTTTTTGCAAAAATTTAAAAATTGATATTTGTAAAATATTATTAAAATGACAAAATCATAAAAAGGTTTAGTTAAATGATTTGTTTTTTACATTAGTTTCATTAATAACAAGTTAAGTTATAAAGTAATGAGAAAATATAAATCAAATACTACATCAATAAAGTATACAGCATTCAAATAAAAAACTCATATGCATAAAATCATATTGTCAATTAACTCATATGTAATTATGATAAGCTGGAATCAAATCAGTCAATCAACACTTAAGATATGGGCAGTGACAAAGCAACTCAGCAGGCATCCCTTAAAAGTGTTAAATTGCTTATTATGGGTTAAGTTTTGAGTTGTTTTCAAACATGGACCGAATTTACAGAGTTGTTTAGAACTGCTCAAAACTCTGTTTCAATTATATAAAGTTGGAACTGCGTTTGTTCATCAGAACAACTCTCTTTGGTATTATAAGTTTTTTCTTTGCTTTGCGACTGGAGAATCATTTTTGTAATTTTTTTTTATCAGTGACAAATGCAAAAAAGTGTTTTTATTTTGCCAGTTGAATCAGTTTTTAATTTCCAATTTTTAAATCCAGTTTTTAATTTCCAAAGAAACTTTTTTTTTTTATATAAAAGAAATGTTTATATGTTTTTAAATATGCATTTAAAGTTATATAAATCAAGTTATATTTAAAAAAATAACCTTGTCAACCTTTTTTGGTTTTGTTTATCTATAATTTCTTTACAAAAAAAAAAGTATTGGTCTGCTAGTTTCTTGTAAGCTTTTAAATGAATTTCATCGATGGAAAATACCAAGTATTTTGAAATCAGAACTTGGCAAGAGTTTAAAATCTTGCTTAACTTTGGTTTTTGACTGCTGGTGTGTTTCAACTAAATGCTGATTTTTATGGTGAACAACTGAAGATTTTACATGTTTTATTTGGAATTGGTTAATTTTTTTTAATTTTATATGTATCAGAATAATAATATTGTATCTTTTCATTTGTAAGGAATAGTATATAAGAAATATTTATGATAAAAATATACAAAGTTAAATTCATTTCAAGTTATGTCTTGTTTCAAAGCAACTTTTTCCTGTAAAACTTTGACCCTTGCCAACCATTTGAATAAGCAAACTTTAATGTTAAAGGTTTAGTCAAGATCCAAAACATTTTTTGGAGGTTTAAGTTTCTAGAAAATCTGAGGTAGTGAATCATAAGATAATGAAGGTTTAATTTATATAGAATGACTCTGAAAACAGAAAATCACACATTTTTGTTTATCATTTTTATTTTAATAAAAAATATATCTAGGAATTCAAATTGTATAATTATTTTATAAAATTATTATATTAATCTTGTTACTTCAAAATTTATATTTTCAATTTCAAATTTTTCGATTATTTAATAAACAGTTAGATAATTATATAAAGAAGAATTAATAAAGAACAATGTTGTGCATTTTTACATTTTAGATAACTGTGGAGTTGGTGAAAGAGAAGCACGGTTTTCATCTACTTTGGTTGCAGAAAGACATTTTTTTTTTGGACACGGCATTGGTAGATCAGGGGATATCGCTGAAGTTCAACCTAAAGCTGCTGGTTCTTCAATATTAGCTAAATTAACAAATTCGATTACTTTGGACATACTAAAGCTATCAGGTAGTTTTTTAATTTCAGCAGTTTACTGAATTGTTACTGAATATTTACATTAAATTACAGACAATTATTAGTTAGTTCTGGTATTTGATTCTAAAGCTTTGTTTTTCAATTGCCCTGTCAAAAATTATTTAGAATTCTGGGACACTAGAGTTTAGGTATATATTGGGACTCTAGGTCTTTGAACCATGGAATACAAATCTGAGATTTCCTCCTTGAGAATATTTTTTTTAAATCTTTATTTTTAATCTGTTCAACTGCCCTTTATAATTTCACCTTAAAAGCAATGCTATATTGAATGAAAGCAGTGCTATATTGAACCTTAAAAGCAATGCTATATTGAATGAAAGCAGTGCTATATTGAACCTTAAAAGCAATGCTATATTGAATGAAAGCAGTGCTATATTGAACCTTAAAAGCAATGCTATATTGAATAGTTCCTAGTTTAGATACTACTTAAGAAAATCAACACAATCACAGTTATATTTCTAAGATATATTAGTAAAAGAGTCAATGAAAGAAATCTTGTAGGTAGTGTGGTTATTAGCTTAAAAAAGCTGTTAATACTATAAAACACTATCTTAATAAAATTAGTTAAAAAAATTTAAATAACATCTAGAAAATGAGAATTATTGGTTTCTCTGTTATCTTTTTGAACAAAGTCAAAAAGTTTTTATTGAAAACAAATATTACTGAGAGTTTATTTTTTCAAGTGGAGGTCTTTTAAGTTTTTCAGAATGTCATGTGTTATCAAAATGTTTTTGTATGCAGATGATACTGTTACATACTATAATTACAAGCAACTCAACTCTATTTGAGAAAATTTTTCTAAATTCGGATCTGAGGAGTGTTGTAAAGTATTTTTATAATAAACTTACAATTGATCTGAACATGGGGAAAATAAAAACAAAGTTTTTAGACACTACAAAATATGCAAAAAGCAATAAAAATGTATTTTGTGTAAATAATGTAAATTGTGCAAATAATGTAAAATAATGTAAAAAATTAAATTATTAAATAATTAACACAATAAAACTGATAAAAATTAATTACTGCTATTAAAGGTTAAAGGTGCTAAGTAATCTTTTCTAATCTGGCAATAATCTGTTAAACTGATGGTTTAGTAATAGTTTTTTTTTAGGTGTATCATCCACAAAAGGTTGTTTAGTTTTACCTGTTGCAACAGGAATGGCTCTTGTTTTAACATTATTGGCATTAAAACAGATGAAACCTTGCTCTAAATATGTTATTTGGCCTAGAATTGATCAAAAGTCATGCTTTAAATCTATTTTGACTGCAGGTATTTGAATTATTTATAAGATTATATTTAAATATTTTTGTAAAAAAAAAAAAACTTGCATTATTTGTTTATATATTTACGTTTACATGCTGGATGAACAATGTGATTAACAAATAGTTAAATTTTTATCTTTCCAAAATATTTAAATTCAAAAAATGTTATTCAAATTATTTAAAATTAATTAAAATTTTTACTTGTATATTTTGGTGCCATTGATTTGTTCCGATTATAGACTTTCAGTTTGAATAATACAGCAACCAAACTGTGGTATATACCAATCAAGCTTAATCTTCCAAAATGTTTAAATTCAGTATTGTAAACATAATGTAATTTAAAATTGTTATATTTCTGGGCTGTTACAAAAGAAATTATTTTTGTTGCAAAAAAACAGCAAAAATTTATTATAAAATAATAGTTTATGGTAAAATATTTATAAAAAAGTTAAATGTTTTAAAAACCAGCTTTTAGATAGGGTTAGTAATTAGTTTAGTTAGTGATTTTTAGTTAGTAATTCGCATAAAGTTAGTAACTTTTAATTAGTAATTCGCATAAACATATATTCCATAATGTATTTGTCTAAAATCATCATTTAAGTATAAAGTTAAAATATTAAATGACTATTTGATTTTGAAGTTTTGAATTGAATAATAAAATAATACAATAATATACAGTGGTACAAAAACATTTCAATGAGTAAAATAATACAATAATATACAGTGGTACAAAAACATTTCAATGAGTAAAATAATACAATAATATACAGTGGTACAAAAACATTTCAATGAGTAAAATAATACAATAATATACAGTGGTACAAAAACATTTCAATGAGTAAAATAATACAATAATATACAGTGATACAAAAACATTTCAATGAGTAAAATAATACAATAATATACAGTGGTACAAAAACATTTCATTGAGTAAAAATTTATTCAAACTTTTTTTGTGAGGAATTTAAAAAACACCCAAGTTAATCTTCACATTGACATTTAGTAATGGCATAGTTAATGCCAATGTTTTAATAGTTTATTAATAACATAATTTAATAATTCTTATTGATAATATATTCAATTTTTGGAAAAAGCAATATAGTTAATGATAATTATTGAGAATCTTGCATTTATTGGTTTGCAATATTTGAAGTATTTAACCACTTGAAATAGTGTTTTGCTTGAAACAAAAAAATAGTTACTTATGTACATTAAAAACTGTAAAACTATTTAAAAAACAAATATATCAGAGAAATGTGTATGCACAACAATTAGAAATTATAAAAACACAGGTACTGCAATTTAGACAAAAAGTCTGAATGACAAAAAAACCTTTCAGATCAAAATGCATGTTGCATCATAATAAATAGTTAGAAAAATCTGACATATTTAATCTAAAACTTACAATCAGAATTGAACAATATAAAAAATGGCAATGGTATAGCAGAGAAATTGTTATAAAGACATAAAAAAATCAAGAAATTGTTTCCTTCATTTCTGAATTTAAGCTATTTTTCACAGACCAGGTAAAAGGTAAAAATGTCAGGAAAGTGTCAGGAGTGACTAACCTAGTCTGTTGAAGGTTGAAACCAAATTATTTTCCAATATAAAAGTATTTTTTAAATTTTAAATCATAAATCAAGAGTTCATATGAAAAGGTAGAAAACGAGAAGTATGACAATTTTGTGTACAGCATATGCAAGTGAGCGATGGCTCAGTAGGCATTTGAGGGATATATTTTCCAGAAAGGTAAGTCCATAAAGATATGCAAATGCTCAAGGAATCAGTTATTGTACAAAAACACCCTGGAAACATGCTCGAAACCATTAATATCAAAATTCTGCCGAAATCCTGTAACTTTCAATAACAACAAGACAGTGCCCCTTGCCACACAGCCAAGAATATCAAATAATATTTACAATCCAAAAAAATACCATTATTTCCATGGTGTGCTTCATCGCCTGATTTAAGTCAAATAAATATTTAGGCTTGGATGGACTTTAAAATGTGAAGCATTAAAATTACAAGCAAAACAACAAAACATACTTAAAGGAGGTTCTTAAAAGCAAGTGGAACTCAATTCCGAAAGAACTATGTGTAAAATTGATAGTTGATGCCCAGGGATGTAAATATGTGTTTTTTAGTATATAAAATTTTAATTACTGAAAATTATTTTTTTTCACTGTTAAATTTGGATTCCACCAAATTTAATTGTCACCTTTTTTTTTTCTCGTATTTTATTTAACTTTTTCTTTATTTTTTTAATTACCTGCCAATTGAACTTTTTTTAAGTTTAATTAATTTGCACTTTCACTAATAAATATAAAATAATTAATTACACCTCTCTTATACTTTTTATTAAATTACTCTCAAAAAAAATTTATTTTAACAAATTTTTACTTGTTTAAACTTTGTTTTACCACTATAAATGAAATAATTTAATAAAGCAACACCAAAAAAATTTTTATTATACATTTTTATTGTAATGTAAATTTGTTGTAAATTTCATATTAAAAAAAAATAATTTAAATTTCTTATTAAAATCATCCTAAATTTCATGTTAAAATAAATTTAATTGTAAATTTCATAATAAAAGGAAGAATTTGTTCAAATTTTTTGTATTTTATAGGAAAAATAAGAAAACTTTAAATGTAACATTTAAAGTTCTATTTTTCCTTAAAATCATTTTTAAACTTTAAAAACTAAGTTTTTAATTTTTTCAACTAAAAATCTGAGAATGTATAATTGTTTTAAATTAAAAAAAGTTGATAAAAGTGCATTAGGTATTATATACATACATACATAAATTTGGTTCTTTATTCTTTTTGAATTACATTAATTTGATTCTTTAATCAATTTAATTTAGGATTGGTACCTTTGGTTGTTGAGAACATATTAAAAAATGGGCACTTAGAAACAGATGTTGAGAGCATTGAAAAGTACATAATAGATTATGGCAGTGAAAATATTTTGTGTGTCATGACAACAACAAGTTGCTTTGCTCCCAGAATTCCTGATAGGTATTTGTGTGAGAGATTTTTTTTTTATTTATTTGTTATAATGTTCTTATTTGTTATATAGGTTTATTCATCTAATAAAATATTTACCTATATTGTCATATATAGAAAAATTTTCTCCACTAAGCAAAAAACCTAGATAGCGCGTCCTTGCTTTGAGGTGACAAATTATTTTCATGTTCATCAATTTTCACGTTAGAACATAAAACAGTTCAATTATATTACAATTGAACTGAATGTTTTATGCTCTAACATGAAAATTGACAAAAAACCTAGATGGTGTGTTCTTGTTTTGAGGTGACGATATATGCTTTTCTGTAAAAAAAATTTTGTTATATGCACCTAAATTCTTATTTATTGTTAATTTCACCTGTTATAAAATACAAATTTTCAGATTAGAAGAAGTTGCAATTATTTGTAAGAAATTGTCAGTAGTCCACATTGTTAATAATGCTTATGGTGTTCAATCCAGTAAATGTATGCATTTAATACAACAGGTAGGTGTTCAATTCACTAAATCTATATTAATTTCATTTGATACACTAACTAGTTCTTTTTCATATTTCTTTAACAAAACATCTATTTCTGAAATTTTGTATTTATAAAGAAACATGATATTCAACACTTTTACATATACATCAATAATAACCTCAAGCTTTTTAATTAAGTTTTCGAAAAAAACACTTTTCAAAGTTTTTTTTTCTTTTGTTTATTTAACTTATTTCAATGAAGATTTTGTCATTAGGAAAAGTTAATTTTAATAATAATAAAAATAATAACAATAATGATAAGCTGCGGCAAGAAAATATTAACATAAGGACTAAACTAAATAAAAGTGCTAAATTTAGCACATAGTGAATATGTTTTTTATTTTTTCTCTCTCTCACTTAAAATTTAGCACAAAGTGAGTGTGTTTTTTATTTTATTTTTCTCTCTCTCTTGCTTAAAAGAGATAGGAACTTTTTAGCTCCTTGTCAGTAGACAATGAGCTGTAGCATCATTTTAATGGATAATTATAATACTAGGGCTGACCAAAGTGTTTGTCAAATTTGTACAATACAATTTTTGTTTGTCAATACAATTTTTAAACTCATTAAGATGATAAGAGTCAACCACAGTTTGTGGTAAATTTCGTCAGCTGATGACTCTGTTAGGGAAGAAATTAAATTATTATTGAGGTCAGATGCATTAAAGAACTCTTTGAATAGGCTGAGAGTATCCTCGAGTTATTTAATCATATGGATGGTCAATTTGTGGGTTAAGCCAACAAATATTTTCTAAGTTATTAATAATCTTCAAATTATAGATTAAATCACCTTGACTGCGTCTTTCATTTAGTGAGGTGAGTTAAAGATGTGATAACTTTTTCAAGTTTTTTAATGTTGTGCACAGAAAGAGAATTCCATACAGGAGTAGGATACTTGAGATGAGGTCTGACCAGCGGTGTGTAAAGTTTCGTCCAGATATCTGTTTTTATTAGATAAAAACTTTCTTTTAAAAAAAAACATGCATTTTTATAGATAAAAGCTTTCTTTAGTTGACTAAGGACAAATTTAGCTTTTGATGATATTATTCTGACCAGGCTTTTGGAGCCGAGCTGGAGCCATGGAGCCGTTGTTTTTTGGTGGAGCCGGAACCGCAAAAATTGAGCAGCTCTCATGTTTTTTTAAATGAATAGAATGTATGTTTTATTAGAATTTTTCTTTGAACATTATACCGATTTTGTACTCAATAAATACTATCCTTTAATAGCATTTCTTAATATGCTTTATTATGAAAAAAAACAACAAGTAAAGTATATATGGAAACATTCTTACATTATTACATATATTTCTTTATATCAAATTTTAATATTGATATTATGCTGTTAAATATTTGATGCATGGTTTAATTATCAAAGTATATTCATATCTTAAAAATTATACAACTCAGAGGGCACAAGATGTAGAAAAGATGTCTTTTAAACATGTTTGGAGTGTTTTTAATGTCTTTTGAACGTCCAAAAGGCATCTATTTTACGTATTGTGCCTACTGGGTAGAGTTAAAACTAAGATATTTACACATGACATTTTTATTTTTTAATGTAATATGCGGTAGTAGAATAGTGATAGTAATACATTAACCTTGTAATCATGAAAATTGGTTAAAAGTGAACTGTTTGCAATTGGTTTGGATTTGGGTTGGGATATGTGATCAAAAAATTACTCCAAAATTTGCAATTTTTGTTCATAAAGTTTGGGAGCTGGAGCCAAGCCATTAGCCAAGCTGGAGCTGAGACGTAAAAAAAACTTTCAGCTCTACAAGCCTGATTCTGACATGCATGTCTCATTTGAGGTTGCGTGAAATGCAAATGCCAAGATCTCTTTTGTTGTAAGTGGAATCAAGAAGTTGCATCTCATGTGGAGTCAAGATATAGTATTGGTGGTTGGGATTTTTGCTTTTGTTGAAGTGTAAGATAAGGCACTTTTTGTAGTTAAGATGTAAGTTCAGTTGTAGTCCAAAATGTGATTAGATTTATATTGTTTTGGAGCATAATTGGGCTGTCAGGGTTCGAATTGTTGGAAATAACTTTGCTGTTATCAGCATATAACTTTATTGGATTGCTAACTAGGTCTTTAATGTTATTAATGTATAAGACCAATAGAAGAGGTCCTAGAACAGATCCTTGTGAGATACCACTAGTGGCTGGTAACCAATCTGAAGTAGCAGAACCCATTACTAATCATTGTGTTCTGTAAAGAAAGAAAAGACTTTATCCAATTAAGTAGTATATTAGAGATACCATAACCAAAAAGTTTATGGAGCATAAGATCACAAGAAGGTGTGTCAAATGCATTTCATCTAAATGTAAAGTATCTACACTATAGCCACGTACCATTGAATATCTGATCTACAGTTTTCAATAAATTGGTAATGCATGATTTAATTGCAACAAGTTCATGCTGATTTTAGGATAAAAGACTATTAGCAGATAGATAGTTAAACAATCTTTTACAATATGGCAGTCGTGGACAGGAAAGGCGTGTGATCACACTCTAGTCATGATCATGCAAGTAATTGTCTTTTTTTGAAAGCTTGACCATGGCTTTTTAGATAATTAAAATTGCGCTGAAAAAAACAGACAGGAAAAAAGTTATAAACAGGCTAAACTGTATAAAAAAGAAAGAAATCTTAACAAAAGAGAAATTAAAAAAAAAAATCAAAACCTAAAGCACTAAAAAAAATCAACTAATATAAATCTGAAAAACTAAAACTCTAATAAAAAAATATTTTTAATGATATTTTGCAATTACGCTGAATAAAGGTTGAATAATTCGTCACGTTGGTTTGACGAGTTTCTGTTGTTTTTTTTCTAAATATTGGAAGAATAGCAATCGAATCTATTTTTTTTTTCTATTTTTTTAATGTCTAAATTAAAATATTTATATGATTATTTTTTATTTATTCATATATTTTTATATATCAATTAAAAAAAGAATACATAAACAAATAAAAAAATAATAATATAAATAATTTTAATTAAACATTAAAAAAAAATTTTTTTAATTCTTCTAATACAAAAAAATTCACCTTTTCAAACCAACACAACAAACTATGTTTTTAGAATACTAGGCAAACTCTTTTAAATAAAAAAAAACTTTCATTTAATTAGGGATTGTCCATAAAATACGTATGCTCGGAGAGGAAGAGGGGGTCTGCAAATAACATTTTTGAGATATAGGGGCAGTAGGTCAATTATAAAAGTATGGAGACACTAAATTAAAAAAAATATCATAAAATATTGGGTCGGTAGGTTAAAAGTGCAGGTACTTTTAGGGGAGGTAGAGGGTACTCAAAAAAGCGTATGGCAAAACGCAAGGCAGGGGGGGTGTGTGGCAAAAAAAGCAAACGTACATTATGGACAACCCCTTATTGTTTAATAAAAAACTTTATTTGAATTATTAAAAAGTATTTTAAAAAAAGTTTATTGAAACGCATTGGTCGTCATTGTTTATAAAATTAAGACAAAATTTTTTTTTTGAAAAAAAAAATTCATTATTTAAAAAAAAAAATACTTTTGAAATAAATAAAAGTTTTATTTAATATTCTATGATAATTTATTTAATAGCATTTTAAAACTTTATTTAAAAGCGTTTAAGTTTCAACAAACTTTATTAGAAAGTTTACATAGCATAACAAAAAAAAAATAACTTTGTTAAGTTTTCGACTATTAAATTTATGGATTCATCAAAAAGTTTATTAAAAAAATTGTTTTTCGTTGTTATTTGTAAAATTAATTGTACAAATCGTTTTAAAAACATTTATACTCATGGTAAAAAATATACTTTTAACAATATAATATCTTAATATCAATAAATACAACCTTTAAAAGCAATTTCTCGCATTATTACCTTATACTTTATTTAGTGCATTTTTTTAACGTTTTCAAAAGATCTAAAAAGCTGTGGTTAAGTTGTCGCAAAAAAATGATATATATGTGGTCAGGAATAGAGTGTGATTGCATACCTTTCCTGTCCATGACTGATATGCTCTAGGAGTTTGCAGCAGACAAATGTTAAAGAAATGGTTCTGTAGTTTGATGCATCTAATTTAGGTCCTTTTTTGTGAATTGGTATGATGTTACCTTGAAAGTCTAGTCCCAGCCACACAGCTGGGACTAGACTTTCAGAAATAGGTTTTATAAATATGTAAGTAATAGGCACATTTAAAGATGAAAAACATTTGTTTAGGGCATATGGGTGAAAGTTGTCTACGCCTGCAGGTTTATGCGAGTTGAGTTTTGATAGTAGTGATTGTTTGTCGTTCTCAATAATTTTATTTAAGACTGATGTCTCATCAATCCCAGAAAATATGTGTTTCTTGAATGCTGGCAACAATTGATTTAAACTTGTAGCTATAATGCTTTGATCAATTGTAACATTCTTTCTTAATTTTTAAATTTAAGTTTCATGTTTATATATCGATAGATGAGTTTTGGATTTGGCTTTTTCTGATATAAATTTTTCATATTCAGTAATGCAATGAACAAGAGTTTTGTTTTGCTTTTTTGCAGCAATTATTATATTTATTAGTGTCTAAATGCCAGTTTTGGCTTCTATGATAAAGTTTATTTTTATTTTTTATTGTACAGATTACTTCTTTTATGATTCAAGGTTTGAGCAAAACAGAAAAATGCGATTTATTTCTAGTATTTGAAGATTACATCCCTCAATATAGATAGATTGTAATGTTTCATAACATTTATCAACATTTAAATTTCTAAAACGATTAACCCAGTTGATATTTTTAATATACATGTTTAGTTTATTGTAGTTATTATTTTAAAAATCTTGTAGAGATTGTAGAGCTTAAAGATTTTATAGCATAATCCCAAGTTAGACTTAAATGAGCTTGTCCTTTTTGGTGCAGCCAAGTTGAGTTGAAGTTTTTTTCTGTTGAGCCTGTTATATTTTACACATAGCCGTTTTGATTGCCATTGTTGAGCAGGAGTTTCATCTAGGTTGATAAAGGGATCATTTTGGTCATTGTTAAATCTTAGTTTATGGCAACTTTGAGAATCACATTTCCTTCTTCTAAGTTGTTAAAAACTACTTGTAATGGACCTGCTTGAGGTGCTTTTGCCACCTTTGAAGCGTCTAATAGCAACACATTTACATTCAATATTAAGTTCCTTTAAGAGTGATGTAACCAGCGCTTTGTCATGCTTGATATGTTTGTCATAGCTGTTTTAAATGCAAGAAACTTAAAGTTCTTCATTTTTACTTAAAGCATAAGCAACTGAATTAGCTTTCAGTCATGGTGCTTACATTTCCAACTTTTGACTTAGTGAAGTTTGTAATTTTTATCAGGTTAGGAGGGCTACCAACCTTAATTACAGTATATTTAATAAATTATACAAATAAATTATAACTTTAAATAGCTTAAATAAAATTTACTATTGAAAAAACATTTTTAATAGTCTTTTCACATATAGCATCAATACTTATTTATTAATGTTTATATAATACACATTTAAAATTGAAGAGCTCATTTTTAAGATGTGGTATGTGCAATTTTGAGTTTATGTACCACTTTAAATATTATTTTATTTAAAAATAATTAGCGCATGAAAGTGCACTTATATATATATATATATATATATATATATATATATATATATATATATATATATATATATATATATATATATATATATATATATATATATATATATATATATATATATATATATATATATATATATATATATATAGGCTTGGACAGGAATGACGTGCGATCGAATGCTATTGCTGACCACACAAATGATTTTTTTTTGTTAACAACTTGACCACGACTGTTTAGATGTTTTGATGATTTAAACATTTAAAAAATGCACTAAATAAAGAAGTGTAACTCCAAATATCTTTGCTACTTCTCAATTCTCCAGAAAACAGACATCTGTTCACTATCGCCAGAAACCATTGTAAAAAGGTTTTGTCTGACGCCAAAGCTCGCTATTCTCAGGTCATAAAATCTCGTATCTCATCACAAAAATTAGGCTCTCGAGACTTCTGGAGAATCTTTAACAGTATCAATAATAATGGCAAATCTGTTATTCCTTCTCTCTTGTATGGTTCAGACTTTGTCACCTCACCTAAAGACAAAGCTGAATTGTTTGCTAAGAACATTTCATCAATATCATCTCTCGATTCCACTAGTTGCGTTCTACCTGACATAGTCGTCAAACAGGTTGATCCCTTGCTTGACATTCGCATTACTTCAGCTTCTGTATCTAAAGTAATTTCCTGCTTAGACTCTTCAACAGCTTGTGGTCCTGACAACATTCCTGTTGTAGTCTTGCAGAGGTGTTCTCCGGAGCTTTCATCCATACTTTCTAAACTATTTAACAAGTGCTTATCAGAGTCCTGTTTTCCATCATGCTGGAAAGCAGCATCTGTTATCTCTATTTTCAAAAATTCCGGAGAGCGATCTGATTCATCTAACTACCGTCCCATTAGTCTTCTTCCTGTCATAAGCAAGGTTTTTGAATTTTTAATCAACAAACACTTAATCTCTCATCTTGAATCAAATAACTTACTTTCTGATCATCAATATGGATTTCGATCTTCTCGTTCTACAGCTGATTTGCTAACAGTAATAACCGATAGGTTTTACCGTGCATTAGATAGAGGTGGAGAAGTTAAGGCTATTGCACTTGACATTTCTAAAGCATTTGATAAAGTTTGGCATGCTGGTCTTTTCCATAAGCTTTCTTCTTATGGTGTATCTGGTAACATCTTTAAGATTATTGAGTCCTTTCTTTCCAATCGTAGTATAAAAGTTATCCTCGATGGACAACACTCTTCTTTATATCCTGTAACTTCAGGGGTTCCTCAAGGTTCAATCCTTGGCCCTATACTCTTTTTAATTTACATTAACGATCTCCCAGATATTCTCACATCTAAGGTGGCATTATTCGCTGATGACACTACCATTTACTCTTGTCATGATAAGAAGCCTACACTCTCTGATTGCCTGGAGGGGGTATCTGAGCTTGAAAAGGATCTCACTTCTGCTACAGCATGGGGCTCACAGTGGCTGGTGAACTTTAATTCAGATAAAACTCAATTTTATTCGGCCAATCGTTATTGTAATAATTTAGATCTTCCTATATTTATGAATGGTTATGTACTAGATGAGTCATCTACCATTCATCTTCTAGGATTAACTCTTACTTCTGATCTTTCTTTTAAACCGTATATCAAATCCATTGCAAAATTAGCATCTGCTAAGGTTGTATCTCTTTATCGAGCTCGACACTTTCTTACTCTGGATTCTATTCTCTATCTCTATAAATCTCAAATCCGTCCCTGTATGGAATACTGTTGCCACATCTGGGGCGGATCTTCTAATGATGCCCTTTGTCTTTTAGACAAGGTGCAAAAACGCATTGTAAACATAGTTGGACCTGCTCTGGCAGCCAATCTCCAACCTTTGTCACATCGTCGTGATGTTGCTTCTCTTTCTCTTTTCTACAAATACTATAATGGGCACTGCTCTAAAGAGCTAGCGTCTCTTGTGCCATCTACTAAAATTCATTCTCGTGTTACTCGTCATTCAATTAAGTCTCATCCTTTTTCTGTGACTGTTCCTAAGTGCTTCAAAAACTCTTATTCTTCTAGTTTTTTTCCTCGAACATCAGTTCTTTGGAATTCGCTTCCGTCATCTTGCTTCCCTGATTCATATAATTTGCAATCATTTAAGTCATCAGTCAATCGCTATCTTGCTCTACAGATTTAGTCTTTACTCTTCCAGTAACTTCCAACTCTTATAGTGGTTGCTTGCAGCCTTGTTGGAAGTGAAGATGTTAAAAAAAAAAAAAAAAAAAAAAAAAAAAAAACTTCTCTTAATGACTTTCATTCCTCCTTAATTAAACAATAAATTTCAATCCTGGTATCAGTCGAAGTTTCACAGCGTGCCATCTTAAAAAAGTTTATTTCGTCAATATGCTGTTCAAAACAAATAGTGACATTTAAAATGCTTATTTAAAATATTATTTAACTTAATTAAGCCATTATTCTACTTATTTCATTAACTTACCAGTGATTATATATTAAAAAAATACTTGTCAACAGACTTTTGGATTTAACCAAATTTATAAATCATGATATATTAACTTATCTATTTATAATTTTTTGCTATTTTTGTAATACTTTTAAAAAGTAACTGTATCTTGAAGGGAATTTTGCAATATTTTACTTTTCTTTTCGATTTTTGATCGTGATACAGCAGTTTTTCACAAAATATATGCCTGTCAACTCACTTTTGAGTGTCACTGTATATATATATATATATATATATATATATATATATATATATATATATATATATATATATATATATATATATATATATATATATATATATATATATATATATATATATATATGTGTGTGTGTATATATATGTATATGTATATATATATATGTGTGTGTATATATATATATATATATATATATATATATATATATATATATATATATATATATATATACACACACACTATACTCGATCTATATCTAAGGACGCAATTTCCTAATATCATTTTTGGGCTCTTAAAGTAAAAATGTGTGCTTTTATTTTTCTAAAAAATTGAGAATAACAAAAGAAAAAATTGCTGCGCCATGCCAAACCCTCAGTTGATGTAGCAGCACTCCTTTGTGGCAACAGGCTATAAAACAGTTGATGTATGTACTGAAGCCCTCGCAGCTCTTGTTTTTGTAATACGTCTGTGTACATCTAATGCTGCATTCATATAAGTGTATATATATATATATATATATGTGTGTGTGTGTGTGTGTGTGTGTGTGTTTGTGTGTGTGTGTATGTTATATATATATATATATATGTATATATATATACACACATCTAAATTATTTATAAATTTTTTTTTTAAAACTACCACTATTAATTGTTTACAGGCAAATCGAGTTGGTAGAGTTGATGTGTTTGTCCAAAGCACAGACAAAAATTTCATGGTTCCTGTTGGAGGGGCTATTGTGGCAGCTTTTGATATGAATTTACTTTCAAAAATTAGCAGAACTTATCCAGGTTTAAGTTAATCATTTTTTTTTTAATAAAAATTTGATACTTCAGTTGTTAATATCAACAACTGATTACTTTAGTTGTTTATTACTTTTTGACATTGCTCTCTATTAGAATATCATGAAATTCTCATTGAGAATTGCGGTAATATCAACAACTGAAGTAATCAGTTGTTGATATTCAGATTTGAAATTAAATAATTTGATGTTTATGTTAAAGCTTGTATTTATAATTTAATGTGTGGTTCCTTGTTATTGCATAAATAAAATTATCTTTTCGTTATAAGCGTAACTTTCGTTTCTGGGTTTTTAATAAAACTTTGAAGCCTGTAAACTTCTGTAAATAAACTTAAAAAATTTAAATCTAAATCTAAAGCTGTGTTCTATTGACTTAATCATCACAATAGTCTAACGTACTTTTTTATACATATATGTTTGGAATTCAGAAAAAAAAATTTTTTTGATTTGCAAACATAAACCATTTCTGGGTTTAGAAAATATTTTATTTGAAAAACAATTAAAATTTTTATTTTTTTTTTAATATCAAAGTTTTGTGTAGGATTGATCATAATTTAAATATTCTGTAAGGTTGCTTATAATCGTCTAAACAGATAGTGATAGTCATGTGATAGTTATTGAAAATTAAATCTTTTTTGTAAGCATGTTGGAGGATATGGATCACATTTTGATTTTAATGTTGACATCTAGAGAAGACTGATACATAGGTTATATTTAGAAAAGACTGGTAGATAGGCTATATTTTTTAGTTAAAGTAATGTGCCTATTTTTAGTAACAATATTTTTTTCAAAAAAATCTCCAAAAACAACAAAACCCAAAAACAACAACAACCAAAAAAAAACCAATAGCTATTTCTTATATGGATAGTTTTAAATTTTTGCTTCTCCAGTAAATAATAATTTTCTTTAAAAAGCAAAAATATTTTGGTGTCAGTTTTTTTCATCATCTTCTATCATTTTGTCATGTAGAAAATTAAAACTTTCAACACTTGAGTAAGTATTACATAATAAATTTACTGAAAAATTTATAGTATTGTTTTTTAAATTTATTTATTATTGTTTAACATTCATGGTTCCATGTGTGATTTGAATAGGTTTTAACAATGCCATTTTTTAAAACTAAGTATGACATTACTGTAGCGTTTAACAACAGGATGCACTTTCTGGCATTAACCTGTTTTGCAAATCAGAATTAAATATTCTTATTGTGATACTGCTACTCATTCATTTAAAGTTTTCTTTCAATCCTTAATTTAGAAGTTTTTACTAGTTTTCCTTCTCCTAGCTTAGTTACCATGGCTAGTTACCATGGCTAGTTAGACTCAACTGGTCTACAATATGCAAAGCAAATAAAATGTAAGACTGCTTCTGTGAATAAAAAATGGAGATGGAAATCAGTATTTTGCTAATTATTAAATAAGCATTATAGTTGAAAAAAAACAAAAAGATCTTGACGTCATGTGATCTTGACATCATGTGATTTTGACGTCATGTGATCTTGACGTCATGTAAGTTACCTGAAAAAAAGATATATGCATATTTTTGATAAGTGTATTTGTACAGATGTTTCTGAAGCAAATTGAGTTTTAAGCTTTTTTTTTTTTTTTTTTTACATTTTTATTGTTAATAAACTGCAATTCTTATAAGATTCTACCTACACCTTAGAATTAGCATTGATTAGTCCTGATTAATAATAATTTTTAATTTTCCTATAAAAAAATTCTGATTTTCATTTTTATAAGTATTTATTTTTGGATAATTGCAAGACTGTTTGGGATAACACTTTGACAAAGAAATGCAATCAAGCATTTATGATTAAATTTAAATTTTTTTTTATTTTTACCTTAGCAGAGTTTGTTAAAATTCTCTTGAGTAAAACAAATATTGATTGTGTTGTTGGTGCACGATTTTCTTTTATATTTCTAATATAGACTAACCTGGTTTCAATTGATATACTTTCATTATGAGGCAGTTGATGTTTTTAACTTATTTAATTAATTTTTGCTATATTATATCTAAAAGTCTTAGCTGCTTGTAGTCTGGAAACTTTGTTATGTTAATCAAACATGGTTTTCAGTTGATCATTTTGTTTTGGTTCATTTTTCCATTAAGGTGATAGTTTTCACTCTTATATAGCCAGAAGCATTTCTAGCACACCGAAGTCTGAGATGATGATCATCATAATGATGACTAATTATGTCTAAGATTATGATCATTATAATGATGGCTAATTGTGACTAAGATGATGATCATTTTAATGATGGCTAATGAATATCATTATCATAATAAAAAACATGTTTTTTTTTTTTTTTTTTTAGGAAGAGCATCAGCAAGCCCTATTACAGATTTATTTATTACTCTTTTGTCGCTAGGTGTTGAGGGTTATAAAAAATGCTTAGAAGATCGTAAAGTGAGATTTTTTCTAACTTTAGTAATTTTTTTTTGTTTATAGTTTATTTGTTTATTGTTAATTTATTTTTGTTAATTTTTTTTTTTTATTAATAATTTTTTTTTGCTAATTATTGTATTATTTTTTATTAACATTTTCCAGCATTATTAATAAAAAAAATTAAACTACAAAATAATTATAAAACAATTTTATTATAAATACCAAAATGACACTTGTTGTTTAATGGTCTAAAACTTTTTCATTTTGCTGTGATGCTGCATGTATTAGGGTGATGTGGACATTTTGTAATTATGTAAAACATTTTGTAATTTTACTTTTTTTTTATGTAATAGCAAAGTAAAAACTTTTCAAAAAAATTTTTTCAAAATGTTATCAATTGCTCCAATTACATTAGATTAGATTTAAATTTTGTTCAAAAAAAAAAAGCATGTTTTAAGAGTCACATACAAAAATGGACACTAACAGTGCGCCCCTAATTAAATTTGAAATGTACTACCACAAGAAAAAGACAATTACAAAGTTAAATAAATAAAGCATCTTTTCGGAAAAAACATCTTTATTCAAAGTTTAAAATTTTTTTTTGCTTCTCAGGTTAGCTCATACTATGTTCAACTTTTTTAGTCTTCAGTCAACCTTTTCTCTATAACTCTATTCTTTTTTTCTTGCTCTATAACTCTATTCTTACCCTTGCTCTATAACTCTATTCTTTTTTTCTAGGAACTTCTTAATAGTGGTTGCTTTCAGCCTTGTTGTTGTTGTTGTTGGGGAAAAAAAAATTATTCCAGATATCAGCAACTTTAATAAATTTATTACTGATTAATAATTGTATATTATTAATCAGTAATAAATTTAATATCATTTAAAACTATTTATTTAAAGGTTTAGTTAACTGTCACATTTTTATTACTTGAATTATGACCTTGTTATAATACTATACAGTACAGTATAATCCCATATGCAGTATAATCCCTTATCTATCATGCATTATTAAAGAGCAAATAGTCAAATGTAATTCGCAATATTTTGGCTTTTTTTTTCTTTGGTTTTGTAAAAATTTTATATTATATTATTTTTCAATAAACAAGTAAAATGACTGTTATATTTGTGTCTTCAGCATCAGTGACTATTTCTATATCAGTGCTTTTTTATTTTCCTAGTTTCTTTGTCTTGTGAATATGGAACCACAATATTTTATTTTATGTTCGTCAAGTTAGATGACCTTTTCATGTATTTTATTGCATACTTATTTAGTTATCATTTAATTATTTATTTTTATTTAGTTTGTAACCATAAAAAATTATAGCAGGCCAATAGTTTTTACTGACATTAAATTTGTTTGTAATAATGTACCTGATGTAACAGTATCATCACTTCCTTTTAGCCAACCTGATGTAACATTATCATCAATCACAAATTTACAGCTTTTAAAATTTAGAACTGACAATATGCATTTTCTTTCAGTGATATTTTCCTTAAAGATCTTTATCTGCTTTTTAAATATGTTGCTTTAATAATGACTGTTGACTGTTATCAGCATATAAAATATTATTTTACACTTTTTTTTTTATTTTTGCATTTGACAACAACAAACAATGAAGATTTTCATTAATGCTAATAAATGTTACTTTAGTTCTGAGGCAATTTACTTCAAATTTCTGCAATTTTACCTTTATCGTTTAAAAGATAATCTCTGTTGGGAATGAATAAAAGTTTGCGTTTTTAAATAAGTACGGATTCCTAGCATCCAACAAAAGCTTACAAAACTTTTAAAGTCATCAAAATTGGGTGGTCTTCCTAAAAATGCCATTTCGATGCATTTTTTTCTTAATTAAACAGATATTTCAGACGTTTTAGTGATCATGCGTCACAGCACTTTAAAGTAAACTTTACAGACTCAAAGACATCTAACACTATCTGTAATTCTTTTTTTCATTTTTTTTTTACTTTTTATTGTTTGCATCAAGGTCTGTTCTATACTTAAATCTGTTCATAATCCAACCCAGAATTTATAAGATCTTTTTGCAGCATGAGAACCATCATGTAATGTTTGTATAGCCACGGCTGTGTTTTCTTTTAAAAAGATTTCTTAAAAAAAAGTTCTAGAACTTTATGCATAATGTCCAGTTGTTGCAAAATAGTTTAAAATTTTTGAACAGGGTAAATATGGTTCAAAACCAGTTAGAGGTTCTTTTTGCCAGAATAAGTAATTTCTCAAGTTTTTTTTCTTCTGGTTCTTTAATTATACCTTTAACTTTAATATCTTTGATTTTGCCTTCTTTGTTTTTAAATATTCATCAACTATGTTTTCCAAGTGTTTGTAGTTTTCACTTTGAGGAAACTTAAGTTTATTGCTATCTAAAAAATTATTTATAGCCTCTAAGTAAAAGTTTTCAATTAAGAAAAACTTTTTTTTTTTTAATTTAAAATTCTAATAATGTGGTATTATATATACCACATATATACCTATGGTACTATATACTTTTCAAGTTAGATCCCTGCCACGTCCCTGGTAGTACCGCACTCAACTTTTACCATTTTAATATTTCAAAGAAATATTAAATTTAAAAAAAAAAAATTTGGAATGGTACAAATTGATATAAATTTATCTATAAATTTATTATTTTAATTGATATAAATTGATATATAATTTATGTTTTCAGCATACTTACATTACAAGTCAAAAATGAATTAATTAAAAGAAAAATTTTTGTTCTCAAAGAAGAAAGTTGCATTCTACATTCCTTTCAAATTATTAAATAAGGAAGGAGATTCAGAAAAAGTTAATAAATTGTCAAACCTCTCTGTTTATTAAGTATTTAAGACTAAGTGCCTAATGCATCACAATTGTTTTGGTTGCATTAAGTTAACTTTAATACTCAAATTAGTTTTCCATGCAGCTGCCTTGTT